GGTTTAAAGACCTGGAGGTGGAGGAGCTGCTCACACGCTTTGATCAGGTTGTCAGAGAGAACGATGCAGAGCACCTGAAGCCTTGAGGATCAGTGTCCTGTTCCACTGGTAGAGAAAGAACCCAACCGTTACAGATACACTAGTTTGAATAAGACTCTGGCTTTGCTTTACTGTTTCCAGTCTCAGATTCAGGAGCAACTCCTTCAAATAGGACTTGCTGTGACACATTTACTCCTGAGATACTTTTTATTCTCATCCTGAGGGGAGGTCAGGTTTAGTTAATTAGATTCTGGGGCTAATAGATTGTGATCCAAATGTCTGTACAATCAGAGAGGTTTGGTAACTCGGGCTGGATGTTTGATTTCCCCTTTAAATAAACCTCTATTCCTTATATATACTCTTATATAAACATGCCATCAGTTCAGCACTAACTTTTCTCTGGATGAGCCTAAATATGTGATCACTATGTTATAAATATAAGTTATACGATACGATATGTATCATTATATGTACTGAAGTGTTCTGATCCTTGTAAAGTGGCTTTAAGCTTTTGTAAACACGCTATGTAAATAACATTTATTATGTTTAACCAATAAAACACACAAAGCTGAAGCAGTTCTGAACTTTTTATTGGCTCTAACTTTAAAAACAGAAAGTTTTGGTTCATCCTGACTGGACCAGAGAGAACAGGGGCGTGTTTGATTGGACGAGATCATCTCAGACAGGAGAGGAGCCCCGTCCAGCTGTGTGTCCAGATGTGTGTTTCTTTTAGTTTTAGTTTGGTCACAGCAGCTCCAAGCCAAACGAGTGAAACTTTAGGGAGAACAAACTGCTCATGTCAGAGCCTCCAGCCAGCAGGGGGCACTGCTTCCAGCTGCTGATCCAGCTGCTGATCCAGCATTCACAGAGTAAACGTCCCCTTATATAAGTTAGTATGGATAAAAGAAAGGAAAAGGCCTCTGTGTTTCTTATCAGCAACAAACAAAGATATTATGATTCAATCCTCAGTCCTCAAGGAAGTCCCATGGAGAACCTCCGAAAGGAAAAAAGCTATGCTTATCCTCAGGAGACAGGAAAGCCCCCCCCATGTGGACGGACCAAAAGGAAAACCTTCTCAGGAGATGAGTGAGGAAGACACAAAGGGCAAGTCATATAATTCCAATGATAAACAGGAATGGGAGATTCATCCTGGATGGGATTAAGGAAATTGTTGCATTTCTTACTGGTGCTAAAACCAGTCTCCACACATGAGAGACGAGTCTCCTTAAACGAAATGTCAACCAGTATCCTCAACAAAGAACCAAAAGAGAACCATCTCCACGACGAGAGTTTCAGAGTTTGGTTCAGAATCGGGGAGCAGGAGGTAAACGGAAAGGTTCCGCAGAGTCTTCAGGCCTCGCCCCTCCAGATGTTTGCAGCTGTGCTCTGAGTCCACAGCGCTTCTTTTTCAGCCTCTCAGCGTAAATATCCACACATTTGTCCAAAAAGCGCTTCTTTTGGCACTTTGAGGCTGATCTGTCGGCAGGCTGATTATGCTCACCTGATTCTGTTCCACCGGCACCAGCAGAGGAGGAGCCGCACATCTGTCCAGCTGTTTCTCTGTGCAGATGCTCATTTAACGCCACTTTAAATCACTAAAAATAAACATTTAACCATGTTAGCGTCCTTTCTGCAGCCAATAATCCTAAACTCCACTTTCAGGAGCCACAGTTGAAAGAAGGATTTGCTTCATTCGTGTCTCTTGTTCTCTGGAGGTCCAGAAATGCAGAAAAACCCGCAGAGCTTCCAGTAAACGAGGATTTAAATGGGATTTCTATGTGGACATGTCCACGATGAGCACGGTGCCGGAGCTCTGTCTTAATGCTGCGCCCTAAAGCGCGCGACCTGTTCTCTGTGCACACGCTCTTATCACTGCAATAAAGTTGGCAATATATTCACAGATTTGTGCTTCTTATCTGAGTAGAAGATTTTCGGTTTCATGGCGGGCAGGTGTCGTTTACATTCAACAAAAGAACAAGAAAAGATTTTTAAAAGGAAGAAAAGCAGGTAAGTAAAAGCAGAGTTATTGGATTATTCAGACCGGAACCAGAACCAGAACCAGAACCAGACCCGGTAAATCTCTGGATGATGATGATTCAATTCTGTTTTCTGGATCCGGGCCGGAGGCTCGGATCCTAAAGACCTGAGACAAATAAACTTTATGGACGTTTAAACAGGTTTTTATCCGCGTGAACAGAAACTCGTTCAGTTTTTACTCGTTTTAACGGGATTTCGTGCTGATATGAACAGTTTAAGGACTTTTAGGAAAAAGCAGAACCAGTTGGCATCGTGCCAGAGGACGCGCTTATTTTCAGCCTTACGCAGGAACTGTTCATATTATTACAGTCCAGGGTTCAGTTTTGATGATCTATAAAAGGTTATGTATGCGTCAGAAAATGCAGCTATATTATGAAAATATTTTATGTGTTATATGTTACATGCATGAAAACAACAATGCAATATAATTTTTTTTATCATTGTAATGACGTTACAAAAGGATCAGTCTTGAAAAACAATATTAAAATATAGTTTGCATTAGTTATCAATGATTTTATTAATTGGTCAGAAAATGCAGCTTTATTGTGGACATTTTTCTGTTAATTAATTTTCATTTGATTGATGGTACCGGGTCACATTTGCCTTTTCTTTTTCAGGTTTTCCTCCTGAGGGACACCATGGAAAGTGAACCAACTGGTGAGTTGAGTCCAGCTCCAGACTGATTATGTAGGACTGTGTGGTGGTTTCTGGACCTTTGAGCTGGTTCTTGAAGTAGCAGCCTGCCATGAAGCTGATCTGCTGCTCTGGGGGCAGCAGTGCAGGAGGTTCCTGGACCAGAGATGAAGAACCCTGTTTTGGTCCAGAGTAAAGACCACAGAGCGTCTCCTCACTGGATAAGACGTGTGATTAAAGGTGCTCTCGGACAGCCAGGCCATCAATTAGCCCAAAGTTTAGCAATCGGACGACTTTTACAAGTTGTTTTGTTTGTCCTCAGCTGACCTCAAACTGGGTGATTTAGTGAAAGAAAACACTGCCTGTTTCAGCCTCTGGTCCTTCCAGATGTGAGTGGAGGTATTTGAGCTGCATCGCGGTGCTTTGACAGGGGTCTGATAGAGGGAAGAGCTCCTGAAATCCAGTTTATCATCTTCAATTCTGACCAAAGCCGCAGCTCAAACAGTGAACCGCTAGCTGAAGCAGTCGCTACATAAAGCAGAACAATGAAGATGCTGCTCAGTCAGTCCAGCAGCTCATCTCATGAGCAGCACAGCCCCCCCATTCAAAGGAAAAATGAGAAAACTGCATGGACATGTTAGGTGTCCTGAAGATAGACTAAGAAAGCATGTTTTTGTTCTGTCCCTACAGAACCAGAAGAACCTGGACCACCACCATCACCACAAAGCCCTCCAGGTATGTCAGATGATAGGAATCAGAAACAGGGACCAGCTCCTATATGATTCACTTCTTCTTTGGCTTCTTTTTTTCTGCAGAGACAAAATAAAAACAGGTCAGAGATCCAATTTTCCACCCCAACTTTATACATAAAGCACTTTTAAAACAATACAGTGGCCCAAAGTTTC